AGAATAATTCCACCCCAAACGAGCGCTCCTGCACCACCGTAACGGTGTCGTTCAATGATGTTTTCTTGGTGGTACCTGGAGCTCTCCATATGAAAGTCCGACGAGAATCAGATTGCAAGTTAAACCTGGACTCGTCGGAAAACATCACACAAGCCGACTGTTGCGGTGTTCACAATGCATGCTCTCTACTCCAGGCTAACCGCAGGCGACAGTGAGTTGCAGTAAGTGGAACGCATCTGACAGGTCTACGAGCATATAGACCAATCTGCAAGCGTCTGTACACGATCTGCCTTGAAATTGTCGTACCAGTGGCTAAAGAGAGCTGACGAGACAGGTCTGAGGCTGTGCTCCGCCTGTTTCTTTTGGCAGTAACTGCCAAATACCGGTCCTCATTCGGCGTTGTAACTCTGGGGCGACCTGTACTGTAACGTCTACTCACATTACCATCATCTTGGAATCGTTGCCAAAGCCTGGAGATGATTTTCTGGGCAATTCCAAGTTCGTCTGATACTTCCATTTGGGTACGCCCACATTCCAGATGGCCGATAATTCTACCACGTAAAAAATCATCCAGATGCGTCCTTTGTGTTATAACTATTCGGTTACTGCACTGAAATGCTTATAAAGCGCTTGCGAACAATTTTACTTCTTTGCCTGTATTGCTTATGTATCACTCTCTTACACTCTCGTCATTGTGACGTACCATCGGTGTCATCTGGTTACTTCCTGAAATTTGCATATGATTCTTGAAGATGTGTGTAGTGACTTTACAGGTGATATATTTATTTAGAGTTCGATTTCCGCGTGACTCCGAATTATCCTTAATTTATGGACATGAGTGTATTATGGTAATAAAGACATGATTGTCGAATTAGCTAGAAAAGCTGTCCACATAATGCCTAGATTTCTTTATGTGGAAGTTTGTAAAACGTAACCAAATTACATAATATTGTTGAATTTAAACACGAAGTTCCTTAAGACATTTGAATAATAACACCTCTGGAACTCAGAGAAACACATAATGAGAGATCGAATACTGCCTAGATTATTGCATGTATCAGAAGAAAAAGTCATTTTAAATTATTTTTAAAATTTAGAACGAAAACCGATTTAATGTATTCTCATCAACTGAGGAATAGTTCACTAGCAGACGAGAGGTAAAAAATCAGTGACCTCTGTTGGTTCGACCCGGTGCCAAATCTCGAAGAACGGCCAGACTACGCTAGAACTTTTGTGATTTTTCGTATAGGTAACGTTAATTCGATCCAGGTTTCCTTAAAATATAATCTATCGAGACACCTTTTACCTTAGACAGATAGCCTTCGAGTGCTTTGCTATAATTCACACAATTCAGTCCGAATAGGGAAAACCTTTCATTGCAATGCAATGGAAGCAATAGTTTATCATAGTGAACGTCGACTTTATCGTCTCTTTTACTTTCAATAAATGATGCACGCTTACACGCACGTACACAAGGGGGAAAATGAATTCTCCTGAAGATATACTGTTACATTTCAAGCTGATTTTAAAATTCAAAAGAAGATTGTAACGTTCGCTTCCAAGACATTGAAAATTTGAATGTGCCTGCATGGCCCATAGAACTGCTGAACTGAGATATTGTATCGGATCTTGATATTATACCACGATGTATGAAGAGTCGATTGCATTAAAGGAGCATGTTAAAGCTTTGGGCTCATAGCCATACTAAACAGCATTATGCAACTTAATGACTTAAATACAGAACCATCCACGTAATCACCGACAGTCAGTCTTCCATACATGCCATCAAACAACAGCACACAAATTCTCCTATAGCCCGGCAAATTCAAGACATCATAAGCACAAGTAATAAGAAATTTGTCCTGTCATGGACCAGAGGGCACAACGCCTGTGAAGGCAATGAAAGGGCTGATTTTCTAGCAAAACAGGCAGCTCTAGAACAAACAGGATCTCAAATTCATATCCCATGGCCTAAATCAGCATTAAAATACAAACTAAAACAAATGGCGAATGAAAAGTGGCAACGTCAATGGGAGCAAGGACCACAAGGACGACGTACATTCGAACTACTACCCAAGGCTGATGAAAATACCACAATTTCAACCTACTTCCTCACCCAGTACATCTCGGGTCACGGTCCCTTCCCCAAGTATTTTTATGATCGCAATATGGCTACGTCGGATAGATGCAAGGAGGTTAGAATATAAGGAGAGAGGGTTCGCAGTTTCTTCCACTATCGGGGAATGAAACTCCACCGAACAAGCGGCGTCCATGTTTGTAACTTCAAAACATTGCATTACGGCAGTGAAATGTACGTGTTTTTAAGCTGTTTCGTGCATGTATTTTCCACTAAAAATATGTCAAATTTATAATGAAATACTTCGCTATTGTTAGTTTTCTGTTTCAAAGTTATAAAGATGATATCCGTAATTTCCTACGTACAGAAAACCATTAAGAAATAGTTCGAAATCTAAATGCATGTGCATAACATTAAAGCCTTTAAAAATAGAATTTGTTTAGGTTTTATTAGCAACTGTTGGGTGTACTTTCCAGTTTTTCCTTTAAGAAGTGATATTTCTGATTTATTCACAATATTGTAATTTATTAAAGAATCATTTGAAATATATTTAACCTGAAACTAATAGCAGACAATTATCTAAAAAAACAGTCACAGGTTGCATTTTTTTTAAAATGAAGTTTTAAATAGATTCTTTTCACAACCAACAACCTTATAACAACAAGAAAATAAATATTAATAAAATAAAACAAATTTATCTGAATTCAGTGATTTCAGTTTATGCGCGTTTCATATTTATGAATCTCAAAGAAATTGCCTTGAATTAAGCTAAATTACAGAAATATTTCTATATTTTTGGATACATCTTTAAACATGTTCATTTGTGTAAATATTTTACTTACTTTTATCACTATACTGCCCACAAATTTGTAAATTTATGCAAAAAAATTTTAACAATAGAAAAGTTAGTTTATCTTGATCAAATGCACAAATTATATTCTTAACAGTTCAAAAAACTTGAAAATGAATAATAATACATAAAGAAAAGCATTACTTTATGTAACACCTTTAAAATTCAGAAAAATAGTAACAACTGGTCTTACTTTTCATGAAAATTATCAAACGTTTTACCTAAAACGTTCAAATTATACAGTTTAAATCCTAACATACATCATTATATGTTAAAGAACAAAGATACCAGCTATAAATAGAAACATTAAAATGTATTTAACATATTTTGATTGTTATTAAGTCTCTTTTTTTTACATCTGGAAAGAAAACAACATTGTGATATTTACCATAGTTTTCAAATTTCATTAAAAAAAAAAAAAAAAAAAATCAATACTTACGCGTGAAAAGTAATCACAGGAATCTTTTTCGAAAATCTGTTTGTGCATCCATATACAACACAAGTGACATGCTTCAAAAAGAAAAGAAAAAAAATATTGCAATTACAGACTTCCTTGCACAAGTCACAGCGATAACAGGAACATGGCCGCCAAGCTTCACCGTTTGAGTTGAACCTTCCCTCCTTCTATTCTAACCTCCTTGGATAGATGCATATGCGGGGAATGCGGAGACCCTGAACATTACATGTCTCAGTGTCCGCTAACGTCAGCCCATCACATTCGCCATCCCACTGACACTGGAATAGAATTTAGAAGATTCATTATTAAGCACCGTAAAGTTTTCCAAAACATCAAAAATATTATTGATTTCTTACACCGCGAAGAACTGGTCCTGTGTCATCCATAGCTTACAACCATAAATAATCCTCTAAGTTCATAAAACGCAACAATAAGAATATCCACTCTCACCCTCATACTATACAGGAGTGCCTTTAGAAAACACACTTATATATATCCATTTATTGAGACAACCGTAACTTTTCTCATACCACGAACTATTAACTACTTCATACTGTGCAATGTGTGACAGATGCACCAATACTACGTACTCAACAATATGCACCATGAAATGAATTCATAAACTGTATGCTGTATTATGAACTGCACTATGAATAAAAACTTATAAACTGTGAATCGTGTAACAAAAAAAACCAAACAAACAACGAACCACATACCATAAACACTCCCCCTCCCCACCAACAAAGCTCCAAACCGAAACACAAAAGAAATATGTATATACATATGTAAATAACTTATTGTAATTATGCATTGTAATTATTGTATCTATCCATTCAACTGCAAAGTACCCGTGTAAAGTATATCTGAGACAATATTGTCTGTAATGCAAATTATGCACCATTAATATATAACAGTGTATTATGAATGCTGCTTGCTGCAATGTAAACTAATTCCCGAGCATGGTGTTAGCGTGCCCGGTCAGGGTACACTTCTATATATGGTTAGTGCAGTGGGGCGATACCAATTTTGCCCATGGCGATGTTTTGGTGCCTCCTGTACTTCTTTCTTTCTGTCTGTCTGTTAAAGCTTAGGTCTTATTGAAAACACATGTGTACTCACAGTGTTGGAATTTAAAAGTCGTGCGAGAGAAATATCTCAAGCTAAACGTTGTTACCAAAAAAACGTTATTGAATTTGCCTTCTTCTTACTTAGTTGAAATAGGCTTAAATCAAGTCAATAATTAACCCCAGGAAACAAGAAATATGTTGAATATTTTTAGGCGATTTAAGAATTAAAATAAGCAATTTTATGTCAAATTAATATAAATCAGTTCATCAAGCGGAGCCTTAACGCTGATTAAAGTCGAAATTTTGTGCAATTAGAATAATTAAATACTTATTGAGTTTAAATGATTAAAAAAGATGGCATTTCGAAATAAACCAGAAGGGAAATGAGTTAACGCTATGGGTTCTGATATTGCTCTCTTTATTGTCTATTATATAGCACTGAATAAAAAAGTTTTCTTTATTCATATTATTTGTGCTAAGCTATAAAGCTATAATTTATGGAAATTTATCAGAACCTTGTGATTAATTGGTTTTATTTTGTTCCCACAGATAAGCAAATGACATCGAAAAAGAAAATTCTTGTGATCGGAGGAGGATTCAGTGGTATTGGAAGCATAAAAAGTTTAAAGGAAGAAGGATTTGAACCTATATGTTATGAGAAAACGTCAGACTTGGGTGGAACATGGCACTACAGAGAACAAACACCATTTGGAGTCCCATCTATTATGCCAACAACCGTTATAAATCACAGTAAAGAAATGGGAACCTTGTCGGATTATATCCCTAATAAGAGTGTACCCAATTATTTGAGACACCATGAACTTCTTGATTTGTTTAAAGAAATAGCAAACAAATTTGATTGTCTAAGGTACATTCAATACAACAGAGAAGTAATCAAAGTAAAGCGATCTGCAGATTATGACGAAACTGGAAGATGGGATGTTAAAGTGAGAAACACTGAAAATGGAGAAATTACCGATGAAGTTTTCGATGGAGTGATGGTTTCCGTAGGGCAATTTACTTATCCAAAGATGGCTGAGTTTCCTGGAATGGAAAAATTCAAGGGACCGATAATACATACCCACAGCCTAAAAGGAGTTGATAAGTTCCAGAATAAGAAAGTTTTGGTAATCGGCATAGGCTGTTCTGGGCTCGATGCGGCAGCTGAAATCAGCAATGTTGCTTCTCAAGTAAGTTATGCTTAAACCATATAATTTGCTATGGCTTGAAAAGAGAGTAAAATAATAAAAAAGAAAGTAATGTTATATTCGTACAAAGTTATATATTCTGCTGTCTCATAGTATACTTTACAGCTATTTAATATAAAATCAGTGGTAGAATTCAATACTGAACGCAATACATGAACTTTATAAATTTAAAACTACACTTACTGCACTGAAAATTACTTCACTTATTAACTTAGTCTTTTTAAGAGAAGAAATTAAAACTCTACTTTTTACCCTCAGTTGTTTTAAAAAGATTTGTTGACTCTTTACAATTAATTTTTTAAATTACATGGATTACAGAAGTCTAAGATACCATACTACACGCAAAATAAGTTCTGCAAATTCTGTTTTAAACCCTTGCCATTTTTATACACTAATTACGGAATACCTCTAACTATTTTATCAAATACTATATCGTATGATGTATTAAATATATGCTTATTTAGAAATTTCAAGTTCACCGTTGATTACGATGAAAATTTAAATTTTGAATGCTAATTCACATTGATTTTAATCTCCGTGTTCCTGTTTCTCACTGGAAGCGCTTTTATAGAAATGATGCTACGTGTATTTGAATACATATAATTTTTGAATACATTTGAATGTATTTGGGTTTTGATATATACAGAGAATATCTGGCTTCACCAAAAGCACAATGGACCAAAAGGGTTTTTCGTACAATTTTTCATAGAATAAATGTTGATCAGTTTTCAACAGATTCTAAAGTAACCTAACTTTTGACTGGACATGACAATTTTAAGAGCTGTTTAAAGCGATATGGACTTGCTTGAAGTGATTTGTGCAAGCTGCGATAGCCTCGATGAAGATGTTAAGCATATTCTTCTTGAATGCGTTCATCATGTCCAGAAGCGGAAGCTACTTCTGGCAGCTTTAAAGCACTTGTCTGTATCTTGGCCATCAATTTTTCCAGAACATTTTCGGACTAAGACACAATTGCTGCTTTTCGAAATTTTATTATCAGTTTAGATTATAGATTTCTTTTTATTTTAATTTATTTTTTCTTTTACTTATTATTATTATTTTTTATAATTTTTCCCTAATTGCAGTGCTATTGTACATTTGTTTATATATTTTGTTACTGCTATAACTTACTTGTGCAAGCCTCGTGGTATACTTTGTGGAACATGAAGAGTTGAAATTAGAGTTAACAAAAAAAATTATCTCTGAAGAATGAAATGTGAAATATTAAAAATTATAAAACTGTATCGCGCCTCATTTAGGTGCGAAACTTCGGAGATCTGCTAAAGTTATTATGACAAATATAGCTAACTTAATTATTAGTAAATAGCTTAATTATTATGCATGAAAAAGTATATTCCTGGTCTCTAAAACTCAGTACTCAGTTTGCGTTAGAACTCCTTAATGTGCGGTCTCTAGATCTCGAAAACTTTGAAAAGCTGTATTAAATGGTATAATTTAAACGAAAATGATATCAGGATTCTTCTTAATCTTAGTTACTAGAAGCTAAATAATCACTAGAAGCTATCTGTTTTCAATAAATAAACTGAACACCCATTAACCGTATTGCGATACAATAACAATTTACAAAATTCTATTCAGCTATTTCTGAAATGAAAGTTTAGTGAAACTTTTGAAAGGGAGTAAATTTCTGTATTTGATGAAGCGAAAACGTCTGCTAAGGGCACTTAAGAAGACTGCTAATTTTTAGTCACATTAAATTTGGTTATAACTCAGAAAGCATATTTTAGATTTTAATTATTATTAACATTAATAAGTTTGTTATTTTGTGATATTTGGGAGTTTGCTTTCTCCTCACTCCTCACCCCTACTATGTTCTATACCGATGATCGATGACCGATAACACATTGTACCTACCGCGTTATATTACAGATACACCTATGCATAGCCTGTTAAGAAATTAGTATATAAGCATCACTATCAGTTCAGTATCTCTGAGTAATTTCTGTTAAAAGGATGTAATTATTGCAAATGATTTTTTTCCTTAATATATAAAAACATTGAATGAGAAGTATTATTTATACATGTAACTGATTTGCAATTTTAAATCGCCAAGTTGATAAAATTATAATACAGTTTAGAGAGCATGCAGATGATAACATACGTAAATGTTTAATCACATCGCTAGTTCAGTGATTAAAAGTAGGGAGGTAATACAATCATTTACTACCTACTAAATGGGTATTGCATGAAAGATGACAAGAATCACAAAATTAGAAAGAAGGAGGTGAGAAAAGTGATTTTCATCCATAAAAAAATCTATTTAAAAAGCTGTTGGTACTATGCATAATGCAGGGAAACAGAAGAATTATTGCAGTGAAATAAAAGACTGAAAAAAATAAAGTTTGCATAACTGAAAAAAAATAAAAAAGTGACGAGGAGATTGCTAATACTATAATAAATGAAGTATCTATGAAACAACTGCTAAAATCTAACATTAAATAAATGCATTAAAATAAGGAAAAAAAAAACATTGCAATACAGAAACCTAAAGGGAAGCTTAGGGTGGCAACATTCCAATGGTATAGTCAAATAATAAGAACCACCCATTTTTGCTAAGAGAGCATTCAGTTCATTTCTTTTGAGAATAACAGACGTTATTAGCACAGCTTTTTATAAAGATTTTTCAGACATTTATTCAGAATACGTGATTTTAAAAGTAGGGAGGTAATACAATCATTTACTACCTACTAAATGGGTATTGCATGAAAGCTGACAAGAATCACAAAATTAGAAAGAAGGAGGTGAGAAAAGTGATTTTCATCCATAAAAAAAATCTATTTAAAAAGCTTGTTGGTACTATGCATAATGCAGGGAAACAGAAGAATTATTGCAGTGAAAATAAAAGACTGAAAAAAATAAAGTTTGCATAGACTGAAAAAATAAAAAAGTGACGAGGAGAATTGCTAATACTATAATAAATGAAGTATCCTATGAAACAACTGCTAAAATCTTAACATTAAATAAATGCATTAAAATAAGGAAAAAAAACATTGCTAATACAGAAACCTAAAGGGAAGCTTAGGGTGGCAAACATTCCAATGGTATAGTCAAATAAATAAGAAACCACCCATTTTTGCTAAGAGAGCATTCAGTTCAATTTCTTTTGAGAATAACAGACGTTATTAGCACAGCTTTTTATAAAGATTTTTCAGACATTTATCAGAAGCCAGACATTTAACATAAGGTGAAATGATGATATGAGCATATTTCGAAAAATAGTAAATCTTTCATTGTCATGAGCAAAAAATGCATGGAATCGTATATTATTAGCTATTCACTGTTAATTTATAATTTGATGTATATTTTAGTAGTTGCAATGCTTGAATATTTCAAAATGATAACAATGGTGTTAAAAAGAAGCGACTGATATGATGGCAAGGTATCAGGAAATCAAAATCTTGATTTGACTGAAAACGTCTCGGGACTATTAAAATTAAAAATAAAATTTTTTAAATTTGATTAATTAAAGCAACTCAAACAGAAATTAATTAATTAAATTAGAAATTAGCAAATCTCTTTTCTAGCAATAATAAAGAAATAATATTGTTCTCTAGAAAATAACATTCTTCAGTAACAAACAATATTTTTCTCTTCACAAACGCTATTCTTTTGTAAAAAGACTGCAAATAGTAACATTTCTGTGTTGGCTATTAAAATTTTATAATCAGGGCGTATATAAGTTCGATTAAAATACATGTTAAATAATGTGAGAAAAGTTATTAATAGTAATCTGAATAGAATTTATTTACTTATTAAATTTAATGAATATACAAAAAGGGGGGAATTTTCTATATCTCTCGTTCTACTGGGACGATTGATGAAATTCAAACTGCGTTTTCCATGTATCGAAAGCGCGACTTAAGATATATATTAGATTTATATATAACAATTGTTCTAACATAATTATTTTGACACAAAATAATTATTTTAAATAACATACCATTTTACTTTAAATACTTTAAATAACATACACATATTTTTTTCAATAACATACCATTTTTTTTTCCATATTTCGATTCTACGACTCAAATTATGCCTAGGTGTTAAATTTTGTAATTTTTGGTGAGAAATTAAAAAATGTATCTTGACGAATTTTTCAGTTTACGCCAAGAATAATTCACTTGGCGAACTTCTTAATTTGCAGCAACCTATTTTCCTTTGCCCCCTTTTTTTTTGTTCACGAGCGAGTTTTTTTTTTTTTTTTTTTTTTTTTGTTCAAAAAATTCATCAATTCATACTTTCGAATAATTTTAACAAAGTGCGTACACCTCATTTTCGTTATTATCGCTTACAATAAATACGCCAAATTTCAAATCTCGCCAAAATATAAATTCACGTACATCTTAGGAAATTTTGAATAAAAAACTCTAACTTTTGAAGGTAGTATGCTTAGAAATACATCTGCTTTAAGATGATAGCAAAAATTTTATAGATTATAATTCAAAATGTTTTTCGAAAAATTTATAAAAATTATTAAGAAATACAAATTTTAAAAATAAATCATAAAAAAATTGGCGAATTTTATTTGGAATGAACCTAAATTTTGAAATATGAAACGAAGACTCAAGTAAGTTTAATAAAAAAGGAGATATTAATAAATATATGTCAAATTCAATTGACATTAAGAAGCTAAAATTTTGAAGGCTAATTTTTTAAAAACTACTCCTACGATTTTTATAAAACTTGGCAATTTAGCATAATTTCAGTCGTAGAATCGAAATATGGAAAAACAAATGGCATGTCATTTCAGAAAAAGCCCGATTGTGTGTCAAAATACCTATAGTAGAACAATGTTAGTAGAACAATAAATCTAATACATATTCTAAGGCGTCTTTTCGAGACATGAGAAACGCAAGCCGAGTTTCGGCAATCGGCCCAGTAGGACGGAGCTATAGAACTGTCCCCCTTTTTTTTCCCTTTTCTTTTCGGTTTTTTTTTTTTTTTTTTTTTTTTTTTTTTTCGCAGTACAACTAATAATTAAATTTGAGCATATGATTTAATATGCATCAGAGACACAAGTTTATTCACAATTTCTTTACAACTAGGTATATGGAAACTATACATGCTTGTATTCGTTATTTTAACACACGCAATGCGAAGTGTAACAGCTGTTTTACACTGCTGTGATATTTTTAAGAAATGATGAGTATATTTATAATTTTTCATAGGCTATATAATTATGGTTAATTATGATTATGTTAGGTAATAAAAATACAACAGACCTTCGATTAGTCGAATTTAAGGAAGGAAAAAATTTAGAGTAATCGAAAATTCGAGTTCACTAGATTTTGACAAACTGCATTTGAAAGCTACTTGGGATTCTATGGAAATGTTCGTATCAATATATTTAACAAAACGAGACTGAAATTTCGTAAAGAATATGTATTGACGCTTCAAAAAAATACGCAGATTATTAAGCAGCCGGGTTTTGCTTTATTGTAAACAAAAACACAGATTTCGTTTCTAAAATAAATACTATTTTCTTTAAGCTACGTGTTTAAATATTCACGACAGCAAGAATGCATTATTTGCGGCCCAGAAAACCGCAAGAAGTACAAATTATTTTCGCATTTAAAGTTTCTGCGTAGAAGATTTGAGCTATGATTCCCATCGTATAGGAATAATGTTGAACATTGATTTGTTGAGAAAGAAATACAAAGAAAATAATTTCAGCGTCTTTTGAAAAAGGTTCGACTTTCTGAATGTTTCGAGTAATCGGTTTAATGAAATCCCCCTTACCGAAAGAAATTAGTTCTAATTTTCAGTTTATTCGGTGAGAGAGAAATATTCAGTTCGGTTGATGGAAAGTTTTGAAGTATTATGAAATCAAATCACATCAATCAAAATATCACCTGCGAAAGACGCAATAACGACGTCTGTGCGACAAAAACCTCATCTGCAAAGAAGTAATACAGACGTCTTTGCAACGGTTGCAAAACAGTGGAGTTTCGTGGACATCTGGGCGTCTTAAAGACGACATATTGCAACGTTTTTGCAACGACATCCGTGACGAGTTTGCAATGTCGTTACGACGTTGCTGTGCTACTTGGGGAGTTAGATTATTCAATCGTTATAATTATTTCAATCGTTAATAAAATACTTTTTACTCATCCATTCAAGGACAAATATATTTTTTAAACTTAGTGGATGACACTTGATGTTAATACAGTTTTTTCACATATTGAAGTCAATTCCTAATAACAAGCAGTGCAAATTTATATCAGAAGCTGTGGTAGCAACACAACTAATCCACTAATATTGCTATGCTAGCCTGTGAATATGCTAATATTCACTTGTTGAAGCTCGATAATCGTAATTATACTACATATAGCAAATAATAAAGCAAAAAGTAAAAACTGAGAAAATAATACCATCAGGTGTACTAAACAGCTTCGGCGTCATAAAAGTTTTAAGACATACAAAAAATAAAAATAAACAAAGTGTTATGTGACTCATTCTTACGGTACTTTCTGATTTGCACAGATTGAAAATATTTACAATTTGGTAGTTTTAAATGTTTGTTTAATATTCTTTTGATAATATATAGCAAAAGTAATTTTATTTGTTTGGAAGTGATATAATATGTATTGTACGTGTTTCTTTTTAACTCATTGTCTCTGGAACATACTAACACGCAAACAAAATTGCAGGTGTACCTGAGCTCAAGAAATGGGACTTGGCTTCTACCAAGAATTGGACCCTATGGCCTTCCATTTGACTACGTAATCCTCAGAAGATATGGAACATTAATGCAAAAGTTTTTTGGTTGGAAATTTGCAAGCTGGTACCTTGAGACCTTTCATCTGAACCAAAAATTTAATCACAGTTTGTACAATTTATGCCCGGAATATCACGCCCTAGCAAAAGATCCGGCAATCAATGATTTGATTCCTGCTAAATTGGTAACTGGATCTGTGAAACTGAGGAAAAATGTTAAATGCTTCACAGAAAAAGGAGTAATCTTCGAAAATGAGACTCATGTTACCGAAGTGGACGCAGTAATAATGGCAACAGGCTACAAATGGCAATTTCCCTTTCTAGAGGATGGTATAGTCGTCAATGAAGATGGTAGAATAAATTTGTACAAGTGCATGTACCCTCCACATCTAAAACATCCGACTCTTGTAGTTATAGGATTTATTCTACCATTTGGTCCCGGTTTTCCCTGTGGAGAAATGCAGTGCCGATGGGCTACTCAGATTTTTAGTGGGAACTGCAAACTTCCTAGCGAAGAAGAGATGATGGCAGATATCATAAAGCGTCACGAAGAAAATGTCAAACGTTATGCTCCATCTGACAAAGTAACAGTAAAAGTAGACTTCATCCAGTATCTGGATGAAATAGCATCACAGTTTGGCGTAAAACCTAACCTTTGGAAGCTACTTTTCACCGATCCAAAACTTTGGCGCGCTGTTGTTTTCGGCCCATCTTTGCCTTATCAATATAGGCTCCAAGGTCCACATAAATGGCATGGGGCTAGAGATGCTATTCTTACTTCTTACTCGAGAGTTCGTTATCCCCTCTCTGGAGAACCCAAGAAGAAAAGCACAAAACCCAAATTTAGTTTTGGTTTCTATTTTAAATACATAGTCACATTTTTGCTAATGGCATTTTGGCTAACTCAAAGCGAAACCTCTGTGAAATATTACCTCCTCGCATTAATATTGCCATATTTCATGACGTGGAAAGGATTTTACAAAAAATATTTCTTCAGTTTACTTATGTTACCTTTCTTCGTAACTTGGAATGGTTTTGTTTCAAGTTATTTTGTTACTATTTTCGCTCCAATTTTCCTAGCAATCATAACATCTATATGACATGGGTAAATCTTCATCCAAATTGTAAGTATAAATGTGGAAAATGTTTACTATTTTTATGAAGATTAAACACATAACTGTGAAATAAATTTATGAGAATTTTATCATTATGGCAGATTTTCATAATCATTAATATGTCCTTTTTATATCATAATGATACAGCAATTGTAATATTAATATAGGAAAAAGTATTTCAAATATTTTTTGGAAGTACGAAAAACTCAATACTATCTAGGTTTGCATTGTTATTTTATACTCATCAAAACCTTGTTTTTAATATCTTTATATATTGGAGTAGAATGTTAGCATAAGTTTCTAAAATTCACTTAATAAAATTATACAATTTCTAGAACCTATCTTACTTTTGTATTCATAATTATTTTATGTTTCACAAAACTATTTTCTGAATCTCTTATAATTCAACCATCTACCATAATTACAAACTCATTCAAACTTAATTATATATATTTATTTTGAAGATAATTTTTCGTATATTATAAACCAAATTCATTGTGAATTTAAACCCAATATGTATATGTAGGAAATATTTTATACTGCAGTAAATTTTTCAAAATTATGAATTATACAACTTTTTGTTATGTGCACTTTTATATGATGATTGTTCTATGTTGATTCAAGCTAAAAAGAATAAATTATAAAACATATAACAGTATGTGTTCTGTTTTTATGCTCGTTGCAGATGTTGGATAAAAAAAAATGTTTTTGTGAATAATAGGCTAATACAGATTATCCAGCAAAGGAGCCCTTGACTTCAAAATCAAAAATTTCAAAAACAGAAATCGGTAGAGGAATACAACAAGCGGTGCATTTATTATCAAAGCTGTAAGATTATTAGACAGAAGTTTCAAAATAATAATTACAAAAGCTGGCAACAGATGGCGCTATATAATGTAGAGCTTGTATCAACATGTAAAAATAAACTCGTCCTCTGAAAGCAGTCTTTGCATTCACATCACAATCTTTCCAAAATGTCCACCGCTTGCAGTACAGAGATGGCGCAAATAGGCAATGACATTTGTTATCACAATCTTGCAATGTCTCAACGGAAATAGATTCAGATGTACGAAAAGATGTACTCTTAGATAGACGATTCAAACTATTCCTGAGTGTTTAACATAAAACGTAACGTAACGTCCGTCCTGCGTAACTGTTTAACGCAACTTTCTGCGTGTAAAAACTAAGCTGTTTCAGGTAAACAGTGTCCTTCAATGTATCTCACGAAAAATCGTCACAAGGAGTCAGATCGGGCGAATATGGAGGCTAATCCATGTAATCCTCCGCCTGTAAATTTAGAATAATCTAAAGCCCCAAGTAGCACAGCAACGTCGTTACGACGTCGCAAACTCGTCGCGGATGTCGTCGCAAAAACGTTGCAATATGTCGTCTTTAAGACCCCCAGATGTCCACGAAACTCCACTGTTTTACAACCGTTGCAAAGACGTTATAACGTTGCGCGCCTCCAACTTGCACGCAACCAAGGGTGACTGTGAAAGCTTGTATAAACCAAAGAGTCTGTAACAAGTTTAAGTCCCTTTTTATTCAACGCAATAATTACAATGGTCATTGACGCTTACAAATGTGCCAACTTGGCAGCAAAATAAAAAATAACCTGAAAGAAAATAAAGACAGATTCTAACGATGCTCTCTAAAATAACTAACTCACCGTGTTTTACATACGGTAATCAGCAGACTGAGCTCACTGGACAATTGCCAACTTTCCGCCAAGCAATAGGCCGACGCGGGGGTTTCAATTCTCGCTAACTACCCTCCGCGACCGTACGTAAGAATCTCTCTCACCGAACTGTCCTTCATTAAATCAGAATACTTCCGCTGATAATTTGATCCTTGCGCGTTCTACTAACATTACATATCTGGTTTGGCGTTCCAGGGAAAGTAAGGCTTTGACAGGAAATAGTTTAACTTAAAATAAAATGTTGTTAAAATAATATACCCTAAACGTCTTTATTACGTTTTTTGTCGCATAGACGTGTTATGCGTCTTTCGCAGGTGATATTTTGGTTGTGAAAGCTCGTCACGACGTCTTAACGGACCCTATGTTCCCAATTCCACTTTTTGCAGAGTTGTGAAATGTCTTATTATGTCCTTGTTACATATTGATTTATCAGAAAAATAAGCTTAATAATTATATATTTTCTTCTTTTTTAAATTTGTAGCCCTTGTATTTTCTAAAGTTTAAATATTTATCATTTTCTGAAAACCAGAAGTTAATACAATTTTTCTCTTTAGACTAAAATATGCATATTAATAATAGCTTTAAGTTTTCAGTACTTTAAAACTATAGTTTTTGAATTCTCTTTAGACTAATATGGATAATAATAATAGCCTTAGATATTTTCAGTACTTTAAACTCATTTTTTTTAATAATTAAATTCTAGTTACAATTATTTAAGATGTTCATTCATTTTTCCCCCTTAAGTGAGAGTAATTATGAAAAGTGGTTATTATAAATGCATAACAATAATAGTAGGTTTTAAGTAAATAAAACTCAATCAGACATAAATAAAAGTAAAGACTATGTGTGTGGGTAAAAAAAGAGCGTTTCTGATTATAACAGCAATTATCACATTTATTTCTGTTAAATATCAGAGACAGTGAAAATTGCCCCTGTCATGATAAATTAGGAAGCGTAAGGATGATAAATTAGGAAGCATAATCCAGTATTTTACCTGAACTGAAGTATAAATTTATTCGCGTTCCATAGTAAAAAATATAAGCATTTAACTTCTACATCTCCAAGATATGCAAATGAAAGACAGTATCAAATGTGATCAAAAATATTTCATACAAAAATTTACCTAAATCTAATAACTTCAAAAAAAATGAAACCCATAACCTTAAAACAAACAACATACATGACAGCACTATTTAAGTAAAAACAAAAATTAACTAGCAGTGTTTGAAAGTATAAATAGCAGAAGGAAGGTTAACAGAACTAAAATTTCCAATTAATAAAAAATTATTTGCGCTTTTTAAATAGTAAGCAATTAAAAGGCAATAATATGAGTTGCAGTATTTACTAGTAATGCTGATGTTTCTTAACACCATTTCTTTCGATCATATGTAATGTATGTACTTATTTTAGTTTTCTTCATTTTAGAATAGTGGTAGATTACAATGATTATTTTGCATTTTTAAAATCAATAACTTTCCTTTGTTACTGTACAGAAATCATTAAATAATATAGTATACGATAGTAAGCTAGTACGTAAATACCACACGATGAAAAACTTTTTGTTCTATTTATTATGAATTTCTTGTTATCACAAGCACATAAAAAGTAAGCGAAGAAAATAGAATATACTTAAATAAAAAAAAAATAAATAAATAAAACTAATTTCCAACATTCATTTATTGTGATAAATAAAACCTAATTTGCAATATTCATTTATTGAGATATTCTAATAAACATACAATAACGACAATATTTTAAAAAAACGCGAATTACATAGTGTTTGGAAGAATAGATACCAAACGAAAAGTAATAAAACTGCAATTTGCAATCAATAAAAAATATATAAAAATAAGTGTTTTTAATATTACACAATAAAATATCACATAATTATAGATTACAATATTTTATAGAAATGTTAATGTTTCTTTAACACTATTTTTTCAATCATACATTTCATACACTGTTTAAAATCATTAACCCTTTCGGACCACCAGTAAAGTCGCTGAACACTGGTAGTTCGGTCCGAGGTTTGAATCCCGCGAACGGGCTGGCTGCATGGGCGTTTTCGTGGTTTTCCCCATATATATGAGCCAATTTTCCTTAGAAAGTCCTCCACGAAAGCAGCCCTCCCCTTAGGCAGATAGCCCTAGTGTGCTTTGCCATAACTAGATAAACCAAACCAAAACCTAAACCAAACCATTACCTAAACCAAACCATTAACCCTTTCTGCATACTATGCAAAAGACAACATAGTATAGAATGTACATTATTGTTAATTTTAAATGTATTGCTTCTTGTTGTTACATATATCTAATTCATCTTCAGCAGACATATTAAGTACTGGTATAGTACCAGTACAATAATTTCTTTCTATTTTGAAAATAATGAACATACCATAACAGCTTGAATTCTTGTTGCTTCTGCACTGATTGCATTTTCAGCAAAACCAGAAATTGCTTACCGTTGTATGCTATTTTGGTTTTATATGAATTAATTCTGAGAACAAACCTTTCAGTGTCAACACAATAATGCACTTAATATGCATTATATACGATATAGCATTTAAAACGTTATAACCGAGACACAAACCACTATATACTAACTTTTTAATCACCCGCAACGCATAAAACACCAAAACAGAGCACTAATTTCACGAACACTATGTTCACCGATTAGCATTGTAGCTCGTTGCATTCAATATTTCTTAAATGATGTATCCAAACTTTAGGTGTCTTCTTGTACAAAACAAAACAAATAAGTTCACAAACAAAATAAGCAGATAATTCTAAATTCTCACGATGATTTTTCCTCAATTCAAAGGCTTCCAAACAGGAGCTCACAGCAATGCAAATTCACTCGCTGGAGGCAATTGAAGTAAGTAGATAGGGACAGAACAATGATTGATTCAGTGCGTTCATACCGGTTGACAGAGCAATGTACAGTTTCTCTAATATTTTATGCCAACATTTATATCAGTCATTGCTTGATTCAATTTCAAATATGAAGTCAGCCTTTTCAAACGCTTTACAGATGGCATCTTTGCCAATTTACTTGAAAGAATTGCTAGAATCTCAATTGCGCAGTTGTTCGAATTTGGCAGCTAGCCAAAGCGCGCAAATCTCGAGATGTTCATTTATATAAGCATCCAGTAAATAATGTAGAGGTCTGCTTCTACTGACTGTCGATGAGTTTTCCGTCATATATATTGGACAGCCGTTAAATATGCATCGTCTTTTAACATTGGACGCTTTCTTGGAATTCTTAAAATCGTCCTATTGTTATCCGTGAATACAGTTTCACACACATCATATCTTCGCAAAAAACTGTACGTACTGGGTGCGGTTAAATGTGTCAATAATGTCACCATTTAATTAAAAATAAATTCGTCCTTACTTCAAAATATAAATAAAGTCTATTCAGTATGAAGTATGCTTGTGATTTGCATGATTCGGAATATGATTTTTTAAAAATATAGAAATGCATAACTTAATAACTTACTTTATAGATTAGTTTCCTTTTAAAATATTTTGCTATAATATTTATAAAAAATATGTTAAGTATTAATTATTTTAACAAAAATTTAAACAATTATTTAGTACGTATTTTTAGTACTAATTAATTAATAAATCAAAAGTATTTATATAAATTTACATTTTATAGAAGAATCTACCTTAGATCAATATATTTAGATGAAATAAAGTAATGAAACATTGCAAAGTGAATCTTATGCGGTCTTCAGATCCTTGAAAGGGCAGATTTAGTCTCTTTTCATTCTAAAAGTAATGCTGATGAACTAAGAAAAAATGCTAAAACGACCACGTCTAAAAGCGGTTATATCATGACGTTTCAGCGACGTCGGCAAATTGCCAAGATACAACGGCAAACATTTTGCGTCTTCGCAACGTTGTAAGGACGTCGTAAAAGTTACCACGACTACTTTGCAGCCTTTCGGACTA